TGTGTAATTTTGAATCCCCAACAGGGTTTGCATTAGACATCTTTTTTTTTCTACTTTGGTTGAACTGACATTTTTACCAGTTGCTTTTTGAGGTCAGGACTATTTCTGAGCCGCTCCTCCAGGTTTTCAGCAGACTGGCGATCAGCTTAATGGCAGCAGATTTGGTTCAAGACCTATCTCTTCTTCAGCTACAGATTTCAATCCCTGGACAGTTGTGAAAATGATTATTTGGTCCTTCATCATCACCTCTTGATTTGTGAGCATATGTCGCAGGAGTGCTAGAAAGAAAAAGGTTTTTGTGGATAAGTAAACAACTGATTTTATAAAAATGTATTCAGTCAACAGCAGTGACACATAGTGAGACCAGCTGTGCTGTATGGGTTAGAGACTGTAGCAGTGAGGAAAAGACGAGGCAGAGATGGAGGTAGCAGAGATGAGGATGTTGAGGTTCTCTTTAGGAGTGACCAGGATAGACAGGATTAGGAATGAGCACATCAGTGGGACAGCTCAGGTCGGCTGTTTTGGGGACAAGATCAGAGAGGCCAGAATGAGATGGTTTGGACATGTGCAGAGGAGGGATAGTGGTTATATTGGTAGAAGGATGTTGGAGATGGAGCTGCCAGGCAAGAGGTCAAGAGGAAGGCCAAAGAGGAGATATATGGATGTGCTAAAAGAGGACACGAAGTTAATTGGTGTGAGAGTAGAGGATGCTGAGGATAGAGTTAGGTGGAAACAGATGATTCGCTGAGAAGAAGTTACCATGGTAATAATCACGCTCCATAGGAACATTCACTTGACAGGAAGACTGACTTTTGTCATTATGCAAAACAGTCATAAACACACTTATAATTATGGAAATATCACAGTTTCATAAAAGTTCATATACAAAAACAAAATGGCTGCTCTTGGTTATCACCAATATCATGGTTTGGGTTCAAATAACCGTCATCATCATGGCTACCCAATGGGTCAAGGCATGAGTGTCACAGTAGAGAGACGTTTTACAGTACTTTGACATCGATGCATGATGTATATGATTTGATTCAATCATGATATAATTGAAAATTCAATGACAATAATGTACGACTAGCTGTGGAATACCTTTTCTAGCACGGGTTTGATTATGTAAAGAACAACCCGATATATTGACTTGCATTTTGTTAGGGTAGCTTATTTACAAAAAATCTTCCATTGCTAGTCTTTGGTGACCACACGATATATATGACTAGACAAAGTGACACATTTTATGACATTTTTGTATCACGATACAGTATATTGCATTTTGCTGTATTGTCCAATTCCTACTATCTGTCTACCCTGTGAATAAATACAATCTGGTTACACATCTTCCTAAACTCCTCATTCTCAACTGTAACACTAAGAAATTGTCCTCACACAGATGCACACATCAAATTCTACTTAGCCAGATGCGATAATATCAGGTTTCACTGGACACTTGAGTGACAAGAGCAATAAAAGCATGATTCGGGATCAGTGGTTCACTTAGAGCCTGATCCTTCCTAGCTCCATATGCCCACTTGTCTTTCTTAAACTTAGAAAGAAAAGCAACAGTATTTTTTCACTTATGTGGGAATTTCTCCTTTTTTCCATTTGATACTGCAGTTTTCCTCTTCCAGTGTTCCACGACATTTACGACACACTTCCTGCTATTCTAATGTCGACCGTGAGACTGTGTTTACTCAGCACAGACGCAGGGAGTAAGAAACTGATGTATGACCTGTCAATCACAAGTTAGGCACTGATTAGCTTGTGACTCAGCTGTGGTTGTGTTCATCGCTGGAAGTGTGATGAGGAGTGTGTGTCTGTGGATATGGACCCTACTGTTCCTATTAGGTGGAAAAAACAAAGCTTCAACTTTGGAGGGCCCAGTGGTGATGCTAGTAAATGAAATAAAGACGGAGTGTGGGAGAGATGGGGTGTTATTACAGCAAAGGCGACACAGGAAACAAAGGAAGACTGCCACAATGGAGCAGGGTTGACATGATGATTGTCAGTACTGGCCACCCCACCCCGCCCCCCGGGCCTGGCTCCAGGGTGGGGCCCCGGCTGCGCCATGCCGGGCAACGTCACGGTCCTTGATTTTAATCTATTCATAAAGGGCTTTTGTACCGCTCTTAGTCTGACTCGTCACCCAGGACCTGTTTGCCTTGGGAGACCCTACCATGGACATATAGCCCCCGACAACATAGCTCCTAGGATCACTCGGGTACTCAAACCCCTCCACCACAATAAGGTGGCGGTTCAAGGAGGGGACATAAACATCAGACATGTAAAAATAACATTAATCAACAACATCAATGTATCCTGCAAACATTTAAAGCAAGTTATTTGCATCAGTGTTAGTAATGGTGTTAGTGTTAGTGATCGCAGCAGTCTTCCCAGTCAACTGTCAGGATAAAACAAGTTATTTGGTTCCCTTTACACAAATTCTTGGAGGACAGTCAAGATGGGAGATTAAATGTAAAATTCTCCCACCTTAGGCTCCTACCTGCAGAGACAACGCCAAGGTTTGTCGTGGCTAGAGTGTGATGCCGACTAAATTAATTCAGACAAATC